TCTTTACACAGCAGTACAGAATGAGCTCTGGTGTCTCTTTCTCATCTTACAAGGGCACTAATCCCATCATGAGGGCCCCACCCTCATGACCTCATCTAAACACAATTATCTCCCAAAGGCCCATCTCCAAATATTATCCCACTGGGGATTAGGGTTTCAACATATGAAATTGGGGAAACAATTCAGTCCATTGCAGTTCCCGAGGAGAAGTCAGACACAATTCTTATCTTTGCTTCTCTAAGTTAAGGTAGGGATATTTATTTCCCTGTTTTCTTTCAAGATGTTTTCTTTACCTTTGATTTTTAGTATTTTGGTTTTTTTTTTTTATTCTTATGTTAATGATTTTTAGTATTTTGAATGATATGCACTGGCTTAGTTTTTGTGTTTGTTGTTAATTGTTGTTTTTAAATTCATCCTGGTTGGGGTTTTTTGAGCTTCCTGAATCTGTGGTTTGGTGTCTGATATTAATTTGGGGAAAATCTTAGTCATTAGTACTTCAAGTATTTTTTCTGCTCCTTTTTCTCTTCTCCTTCTGGTATTTTCATTACACATATGTCACACCTTTTGTAGTTATCCCACAGTCCTTGGATATTTTGTTTCTTCAGTCTTTTTCTCTTGGCTTTTTCATTTTGGAAGTTTCTATTGACACCACCTTAAGCTCAGAGATTCTTTCTTCGGCTGTGTCCATCAAAGGCATTCTTCATTTCTGTTACAGTGTTTTGTTTTTGTCTTTGTTTTTTAATTGCTAGTATTTACTTTTGGCTCTTCCTTAAAATTTCCATCTTAAGCAACATAAATTTATGTTGCTTAAAATTTCCATCTTCCATCTTGCCCATCTGTTCTTACAGGCTGTCTACTTCATTCATTAGAATCATTAGCATATTAATCATAATTGTTTTAAATTTCCAATCTGATAATTCCAACATCCCTGCCATATCTAAATCTGATTCTGATGCTTGTTCTATCCCTTCAAACTGTGTTTTATGCCTTTAGTACACTTCGTAATTTTTTACTACTGGGTAAAAGGAACTGTGGTAAACCAGCCTTTACTGATGTGGTGTTAAGGTGTGTGGGGACAAGTATTCTATAGTCCTATGATCACTTCTTAGTCTTTTAGTGACCCTGTGCCTCTGGACCATGAACTTCATGTTTCTGAATCCCGTCCCCATTTTAGGTGGGACAGAATGGCCAGAATGGGTTGGATTGGAGTTGGTATTTCCTTTTGCCTACATGGAAGGCTAGAGCCAACTGGAGTTTGGCATTTCCCTTCCTCCAAGTCAGTTAGGCTCTGAAAAAATCTGAGTAGTTCAGGCTGTGGTGAAATCTTGAGGGCAGGCCTTGTTAAGAAGAAGAGACTAATGCTCTGATATATTTCAAAATGTTTCCTCTTACCCTCCACCCGCTGAAAGCATGAGGGGACTTTTCTCTGATATTCACTGGGAGAACCTGTTCAAGCTCCTGGAGGTAAAACCCACAGAAGTGTGGGCTCTCTCTGATGACTGGGTCCCCCCTGGAGATATTAACTCACAGACTTGCCCACACTGAGCTTTCAGCAATTCCTTGATGACAGTTCAGGTTTTCCTGCCCTGGGACTCATTCCCACAGAGGTTTCTGCTCCTGGGTTCTGGTTCCAGTGGGATGTGATTCCCTGCATCTACCTGTCCGTCTTTCCAATTTTGGAAGCAGCAATTTGCTTGCTTCTTGCCTTCTCTGATGGACTTAAAAAGAGTTGTTGGTTTTTTAGTTTGTTCAGCTATTTACTTATTGTTAGGATGGAGTTACAACTTCTAAACTCCTTACATACTGGACCAGAAACTAGAAGCCGGTAATTATTTTTTCACAAAGGTTCCAAGGTAATTCAATGGGGAAAGGTGAGTCTTTTCAACAATTGTGCTAGTGAATCTCAATCTTTACCTCATATCGTACATAAAAATCAACTCAAACTAGATCACAGATCTAAACATAAGAGCTACAATTATCAAACTTCTAGGAAAAAATATTTGTGATCTCGTGTTAGGTAAATATTTTTTAGATAGGACATAAAAAGTACAAACCATAAAATAAATAATTGACAAATTGGATTTCCTTATAATTAAACACTTGTGCTCTTTGAAAAATGCTGTTAATGAAATGGATAAACGAGCCAAGAACTAGAAAAATATATGTGCATATATATTTGATAAAGGACTTGCATTCAGAACATGTAAAAAATTCTTATATCTCAATGAGAACATGTAATGCAATTTTTTAATGGGCAAAAGACTTTAACATATTTTTCACCAATGAAGATAACACAAGCAGCAAGCGAGCATATGAAGCCTACTCAACAGCACTCATTATTAGAGAAATGCAAATTATAACTATAATTAGACACTAGTTCATACTAGAAGGAGTACTATTTTTAAGAACTATTAAAATATTAAGTGCTAGCGGGGCGCCTGGGTGGCTCAGTTGGTTAAGCAACTGCCTTCGGCTCAGGTCATGATCTTGGAGTCCCTGGATCGAGTCCCGCATCAGGCTCCCTGCTCAGCAAGGAGCCTGCTTCTCCCTCTAACCCTCCCCCCTCTCATGTACTCTCTCTCTCTCTCTCATTCTCACTCTCTCAAATAAATAAATAAATCTTTAAAAAAAATATTAAGTGCTAGAAAGAATCTGGAACACTTGGAAATCTCAAAGATTATGAGGGGATCAAAAATGGCACACTTTGGAGAACAGTTTGGCAGTTTCTTAAAAAGCTAAATATTAACTAACCATTTGACCCATCAATACCACTCCTAGGTATTTACTATGTATAAATAAAAACACATATCCACACTAATACCTATAAACAAATGTTTATAGAAAATGTGGTATTTACACATGATGGGATGTTATTCAGCCATAGAAAGAATGAAATCTTGCCATTTGCAATGACATGGATGGAGCTAGGAGTATAATGCTAAGGGAAATAAGTCACTCATATATGGAATTTAAGAAACAAAACAAATAAGCAAAGGGAAAAAGAGAAAGAGAGAGAGATAAACCAAGAAACAGACTCCTAACTATAGAGAACACACTGATGGTTACTAGAGAGCAGATGGGTGGGGGGATGGGTGAAACAGGTGCTGAGGATTAAGGAGTACACCTGTTGTAATGAGCACCAGGTGTTGTATGGAAGTGTTGAATCACTGTCTTGTACACCTGAAACTAATATAACAGTGTATGTTAACTAACTGGAATTAAACTAAAACAAAACAAAAAAACCTTCAAAAATACTTCTATCTTTAAAAAATTTTAAAGTAAAAAAATGAAAAGGGGATGAAAAATAAATATGTAAGCAAACACTGAAACACAACAGAGTAAGTGCTATACAAAGGGCCCTGCAAGTAAGAGCTTGTGACCCCAAAATTTTATACACAGCTGTTTTACCAAAAGGCAGTAGAAAGAGGTCCTCAGAAGTGCAAGGACTCAGAAAAGAACTACCCAAGTACTTTTCCTGAATAAAATACCTGGGGTCCTGTGACAGAATAAAGAAATGCATGCAAAAAAAAGAACATCGATTCATTATGTAACTGTTGTTCTGCACGATAGGATAAATGTGGCGACAGGGTCACCAACAGCACCTAAATTACCTTTGTGTATTAGAAGAGGGAATCTTCATCTTCCTCCCCCTTTCTTTCTCCAAAAGAAAACATCTACATGCAAAGGATGGAAGGAGTGAAGGAGGAAATCACGCTGTGGATGATCACAGAGAGATTCCGTGGGAATGCCCTGAGAGACAATCATACTGCACTCCTTCCTTTGCACAATGGGAAACAATTATCTTCCTGCCACCCACAACCATGTGTTTAATAGGATTTTAAGGAACACTTTTTAAGAAGTTAGCTAAGAAGTGTCATTGGGTAGATATTAAAAACCCTTTGTAACATGCCTTATTTTTATTTGCTTTTTTTATGTTTGATTTTTATTTTATCAAAGAGGTATCTGTTGTTTAAAACAGTAAATGTAGGATGTTCATCAACTCAAGAAATATGTGTAATATTAACTAACGTTTTTCACGAATGGAGATGCCCCTGACAACATTATGGGTGTTACTACCTTCAGACATTACGGAAACTCTACAGTACTATGACACTGAAAATGAGCAGGAGTGTCCCCTGCCTACAGCACCTCATGGCCCAAATGCCTGCTTCCTGAAGGCAATGCCTTCCAGCTATTTCTTCTGCACCTATGACCCTCCCTATTTCCAAGTAACGTGCTTGTTTGTTATTTCTTGACTTTTTCCAATTTTAGATATTATTTGCTGACTTGCCAGTACAGAAGACTAGATTAAGATGGTCCCCATGCTCACACTCATACACACTCACACACAAACACACACCCACAGCCACACACTCCCGTTCTTCCATTATAGATGTAAGCGTTATTCAGAGCACCATAAATGCAAACTGTTACTCAGAGCTGAGCCACACGTGCACAGTCGTTACCTTTCTTTTCGGACACAACTTTTGTGTTTTCCCAAAGTTAACGCTCATCTTGTTTTTTCATCCTCTCAGGCCTCCCCTGCTGCCAGCCTAAGCTTCAACTTTCTCCATCTGGATAAATCGACGGGCCATCTGTTTTCTAGATTTTAAAATTTTGTTGCTATCATATCCTCTCCTGTTCTCTGTCAGCGAAGCTTCAGGCAATTTTATCTCTTTCCCATCTTTTGAGCGACATTCCAGAAAGCAGAGAAGGTAAACACACAGGTCCTGTTGACCACCGTGCTCAGCAGAGGCCCCTTCAGGGTCAGTAATGATGCCGAGAGACTTGTGTGGAAGGGGGCCAGTGCTCCCTGGCAAATCAGATAGCTTAAGGGGTCTTCCAATACCACCAAGGCACTACCCACCAGGCCCTGCTCTTCCTGATGCGCTCAGATCCCATTTCTTTTGTAATTAGAGGAAAATATCTGTTCACTTAAACCACCAGTTGATTTAATGGATGCAAGGAGAAGGGAGAAGGCCCTCGGGCCTCACACCTACCTTCACGGCGCTGAAGCAGAATGCGTGGAGCAGGCCAGTGGCCACGGCACTCCGGGCCACGCTGTAAATAGCCGATGTCATCCCACAAACAGCTGCAACACAAACACCAACAGTCTCACAATCAATACATGGAAGAAAGTGCAAAGACAAGGTTGTAGCTTTCGAGTGCAAAATGCCTGCCAAAGGGGCAAAGAATACCTCCATGGGATCAGTCAAAAGCACTGGATGACTTAATACAAGAAAGAAAAAAAAAAAAGAGAGACTGACCATTTACTAAAACTTCTGGAGAAAAGCATTGAAAAAGAATTTTTGGCAACATTCTTAGAAGACTGTGTGAACATGTCCAGTGTGGAGGGAGGGAGACCTCCTTGCTTTCAGTTGAGAGTTGCTGGCCGAAATAAACATCACAGATGAAGGTTCCCGCAGAAGAAAGGGGGGCTAGACAGAGAGAGAGCGATCTAACAAACAAGCAGTGCTCATTGTGTGTGTGCGTGTGTGTGTGTGTGTGTGTGTGTGTGATGAGACAGGAACAGTACCGGATCACCAGCTATGCTGTAGCTCTTTATGTACAATTTCATTTCATTCTTACAGCGACTCTGTGAGATCCGTGTGTTTATTTCATTTAGAGAAGAGTAAACTTTACAGTTAAGCAATCTGCACAAAGTCTGCAGGTAAGGATTAGGTGAGGTTTTAGCCACCATGGTGGGAATCTAAGGTGCTATGTCAAGGGAGGGTCCACACAGGGGGGAGACCAGGGTCCCCTCAGGGGGGAGACCAGGGTCCCCTGTCTGTCCAGGTGCACACAAGAAATAGCTCAGTGTTCAGGACAAAGAAAACCGAGCTGTCCAGACTCTCATTCCATTCAGCCCTTATCAAAACTTTAGACTCCTTTACAGGAAGAGTAGGATGTAGACGACTTACCAGAACCTCCAAAAAATAGCATGTCAATTTGTTCCAAAAGATAAATGCAGAAAGTGTTGATCTGCGGGAAGAGCCCGAGGAGGGAGATTGCAGGGAAGCAATATAAAAATACTGGAAGTGAACAGACAAAATGGACAGTAAGTGTGCAGCTGCTGGTCCCCAGGTCCCCGAGGCAATCCTGCCTGCTCCCCTTCCAGCTCTCAGCCGCCCCCCTGCCCGCGTCCTGGAGGCAATACTGGACTCCTCGCACCCACAGGAGGAAGGTCTGCGGGCCAAGTGGAAATGCGCCGTTGGAAGTAACAAGGAGCTGCGTCTGAGGAAGAGGCCCAGGCAAAGAACACAGGCGAGCCCAGGACTGAGCAGAGACCTCAGATGGTGAGGGAGACAGTGGACCAGTCCACAGTGTGCAAGAGTGGGCTTGCACTTGAGGGGCATGAGGGTGGGGGGAAGAAACTGGGAAACTCCAGGAACAGGTAAAGCTAAAGGCAATAGGTATGCAGGTCTCTCCCTGCACGGGGGTGGGAGGTGTAAAAATGGGAGCCAGGGGCTCCTCATTTTGTGCTTCTGTCAGTGGGAGCACTTGAGGTGCTGAGAGTCGCCACACCTGAATGCCGCCTGCAAATTCAAGTTCAGTGGGAACTCCAGGTTTGCAGGCGAACAGGGGAGGGTGGTGATTAAGAAACCACACACAGTGACAGTGGGACAGTGAAGGGCCTGACTTCCTGGGACCGGAGCATCTGGGACATGAAGGCAACCCTGCCTGACCAGAGGAAGGCTATGCCCCCTCCCAAAATTTGGAACAGTGCAACTCGATAAGACGTCCACATGCCAGGATTCGACGTTTCAGAGATCATTTGTTAGAGGAAATTGAATGTGCTAGAGCTGCATTTTACAGCTCTGTCCCTGTCCCTGTCTCTCCCTCAAGTCTATGTAAGTTGGATTTCATAGAAACCCAGAAACTGCCATTCCTTCTGCTGTAACACATCTGTCTTCTCAGTTTATTGAGGAGAATGTCAATGAAGTTTGATCCTGGTAAGCCCTAATAAAACTAAGGAAATTTGATTTGAAATCCCATATGCCTGAACTTTGGAATTGTGTGCTAACACTGGACATAGACCACAGTCGACAGTGGGAGTGGGGATGATGGGGGGGGGGGTTCAGCTATTTCTGAAAAATCAGAAATGCAAACTTTTCATCATGAAATTGTAGAAACGAGAGTCTTCATATGTCCCATGCTCCTGCTAATAGTCACCTGAAAATAAGTATGGGACAAACCCTTCCACAACAACACCAAGGACCTGTTCCAACTCTCTTGGGGTTGGAGCCATATTTTGATACACCTGGTGATTTTGCTGTAATGTTTTCTGTGGCAAGATTTCAACGATATTGTAATAACCTAGAGCATCTGTGAGGAATCCACTTTTCAGTCAAAGTAGGCAATAAGATACAAATACTGATCTGCTGGACATAATAGGACACAACTTCTTTTTTTCAGGTTTTGTGAATGGAAATCAGAGATGGGGAAAGATGTAAGAAATAAATAGAAATTTGGAGCAGTTGGTGGTCTCAGTGGTTTGGGCGGCCGACTCTTGGTTTCCGCTCAGGTCATGATCTCAAGATCCTGGGATCGAGCCCCATGTGGGGCTCCGCACTCAGCAAGGAGTCTGCTTTGGGATTCTCTCTCCTCCTCTCCCTCTGCCCCTACCCCCTGGCTCTCTCTCTCTCCCTAAAATAAATAAATAAATCTTTTATAAAAAGAAATTTAATTATAGAACACAGGAGCATCCAAATTGTATTCCCATATAATTTCAAGCAGACTGACTAGTACTTCTTCTCTCAACTTTGAGACTCAAACCCAGCAGGAAAGATGACATGCTGCACTATACCGTGGAGTACTCATGGCCAGGGTAGGGGTGCACAGAAGATGCTTTGAGGTTGCATTGGTTCACGTTCTCAAGAGCTGTGTGCATGTGGCAAAAATGACACCAAGAAGGAAGAACTCCAGGGAAAAGTATGGATGTCAAATAAAATTAAAGGCAGCTGAATATTAGAAACTGCTCAGCAAAGCAGAGGTAAGGAAGCGTTCTCTGTAAGAAATACATTAGGTAATGAAACCCCAGCTATGGAAGCGCAAAGAATCAGAGCCAGTGAATCATGGCTCGAGGACGATCCAACGGTGAGAGGCTCGCAGCATGGGAGCTCCCTGCAACCACAGTAGAAGGCAACAGTCACTGTGGAGCCCAGGATCTAGCTCCTCTCCAGGATGTATTAGAGAAGATCTCTAGGCTTTAAAACCGAAGCCAGGGAGGTGGAAGGAGAGTGAGGCGGAGGCCACGCATCTCATCTGTCAGGCTGCAGATCACGAGAATAAAAAAGCAGGGAGGGGCACCTGGGTGGCTCAGATGGTTAAGCGTCTGCCTTCGGCTCAGGTCATGATCCCAGGGTCCTGGGATCGAGTCCCACATTGGGCTCCCTGCTCCTTGGGAGCCTACTTCTCCCTCAGCCTCTCTCTCTCTCTCTGTCTCTCATGAATAAATAAATAAAATCTTAAAAAAAAAATTTTTTTTAAAAAGCAGCGAAACGCTTCCTGCATTAGTAGGGCAATTAGAAAATCACACTTGAAGTTGCTGAGGTCATTTTGACCTTCTTCCAAAAGTTAAAAAAAAAAATAGTCCCTGTGGTTGTCGGCAATTTTGCCTGTGAACAAAGATTTTTTTTCCTTAGCATACCACTGAGAGGGTGTATAATTTTCTCTCACTGCTACTCTTCATTTTCCCTAATAATTACCATAAATGCAGAAACTTCTGGTACTGTTCCATTTCTTTACAAGCAACATTTACAAATAAAAACATTATAACTTGCTTGTTTCTTTTTTTAAATGTGAATAATGATATTCGTTACTATTCTATCCCATGACTATTGCAGTTGCAGCTTTGGGATGAAAACAAGCAGAATTAAAATAACATGGAAATAAAACTGAAACCTAAGGAGTTGATGGGAATATATACATTGTGTGTCTCCAACATGCTGTATCTGGTGTTAACTAATTATCCTGCCTGTGGACCATATCGAGCCCCAGAAACAGTCTATAGAGAAGACACATAGAGAAGACAAATGTGAGGTCTCTCTGGGCAGAGGAGAGGGGTACATTCCAGTAAGTAGTCCCCAAACCTCCACCTATCTCTAAGGGTGGCATTTTTGAAGCTGCATTGTTGTAGGTTGGGGGTCACGGTCCTAAGCACAAACATAAAACATAAAAGTCTCGGATCTAAGAAGGACCCATGCAGTGCCTCCTACAATGGACAGCCAACCACCTCTTCCTGCCTGAGCCCCTTCCAAGTCAGGACCTCCGTGCTTCACTAGGCAAAGCCCATGCTACCACTGGACAGCTCTAACCCAAACCATTTTACAGGCCTTTCTTGCAGTGAGCCATAATGCACCTGCCATGGGCCGGGACTAGTTATTACCGCTACGACAGAGAACCGCCACTGCGTGGACATCCCACTCTTTTGCCCCAACTCCAGATGCAGTGCAGCCCCGGTGGTTATGTTCCTCGGGGCACACTCCAGCTTTGCTCATGCTCCTTTTGAAATAGGACACTAAGAATTGAAGACCTTTGGCTTCCTCATCTGTGGGATAATTACAAAGCCGGGCCCCTTTTGTAGACTTTCACTGAAGTTACGCTGGTGGAAAGTATTAAAAATTCCAGCCATACAAATGAAAAAATGTTCATCATCATTAGCCATCAGGGAAATCAAAATCAAAACCACACTGAGATACCACCTTACACCAGTCAGAATGGCAAAATGGACAGGGAAAGACACAACAAATGTTGGAGAGGTTGTGGAGAAAGGGGAACCCTCTTACACTGTTGGTGGGAATGCAAGTTGGTACAGCCACTTTGGAAAACAGTGTGGAGGTGCCTCAGAAAAAAAAATTTTTTTTAAAGATTTTATTTATTTATAGAGAGAGAATGAGAGAGAGCACATGAGAGGGGGGAGGGCCAGAGGGAGAAGCAGACTCCCCGCCGAGCAGGGAGCCCGATGCGGGACTTGATCCAGGGACTCCAGGATCATGACCTGAGCCGAAGGCAGTCGCTTAACCAACTGAGCCACCCAGGCGCCCGGTGCCTCAGAAAATTAAAAATAGAGCTACCCTATGACCCAGCAATTGCACTCCTGGGTATTTACCCCAAAGACACAGATGTAGTGAAAAGAAGGGCCATATGCACCCCAATGTTCATAGCAGCAATGTCCGCAATAGCCAAACTGTGGAAAGAGCCAAGATGCCCTTCAACAGACGAATGGATAAAGAAGATGTGGTCCATATATACAATGGAATATTACTCAGCCATCAGAAAAGATGAATACCCAACTTTTACATCAACATGGATGGGACTGGAGGAGATTATGCTAAGTGAAATAAGCCAAGCAGAGAAAGTCAATTATCATATGGTTTCACTTATTTGTGGAACATAAGGAATAGCATGGAGGACATTAGGGAGAAGGAAGGGAAAAATGAAGAGGGGCAGAATCAGAGAAGGAGATGAACCATGAGAGACTATGGACTCTGAGAAAAAAAACTGAGGGTTCTAGAGGGGAGGAGGTGGGGGGATGGGTTAGCCAGGTGATGGGTATTAAGGGGGACATGTATTGCATTCAGCACTGGGTGTTATACAAAACTATGAATCATGGAACACTACATCAAAAACTAATGATGTACTGTATGGTGACTAACATAACATAATAAAAATAAATAAAGAAATAAACAAACAAATAAATAAATAAAAATTCCAGCCCAGAGGTCACCAACTCTGACTGAGCAAGCTAAGGAGGACCGATTCAGAGGTCTCTTCCCCTTACTCCCAGAAATAAAGACAAAATTTTGTGCCTTTTAATGAAAAAAGAAGTGTGCACAGGAGTATTTTGAATATACAGGAGGGGTCTTAGAAGGAAAAATTATGTAAGAATATTACCTCAGTGTTTCTATGTCTTTAATTCCCCTCCCTGCCCCCCCTATAAAATCAACAAGTCCCTGCCACTGACTTTGTCTTATGTCCCCACGTTTGGCCCCCAAGTTCCCCACCTCCTGTCAGCGTACATCCCACCTTCTTCTGTTGTTCTATTATCTGACTGAGATGCTCAGCTTTGAGATGCTCCTCTCCTCGCCTTAAATAGGATGAGGAGCCTCTCCACCTTTCCCACCTACCCGATTTCCACCTGGATCATCTCCCACCACTGGCTCACATTCGGCCCCTTCTGCCCTGGCAGGCAGAGCGGGGAGGGTCAGCTCAGGCCCAAAGCAGCACCCACGGATACTCTGTGCTCCTTTCCTGCCCCCTTCCTCTGCTGCCTCGTCTCCCTCGCATCCACCTCAGGTTGATGGTGTTGTGCGGAAAGCAGGAGTGGCAACAGGTACCAGAAATATCAGCAGTAAGGCACAACTTTAAGAAACATTTCACACCCCCCAGGACCAGCCAGAGGAGGATCACAGCATGAGAGGCACATAGCACCTTTGACCACACGATGGGAAACAAGGTCAAGTGTGCTTAGTTCCTGCTTCTCTCTTGTCCTTTTTCTTAAATGCTCCTTGTTAAAAGGATTGAATCGTGTCCCTCCAAAACAGTACCTGTAAACGTGACCTCACTTGGTAATAGGGTCTTGGCTCATAATCAAGTTACAATGAGGTCATTAGGGTGGGCCCTGGTCTAATATGCCTGATGTCCTTATAAAAAGGGGGAATTTGGACATAGAGCCAGACACACACACACAGAGGGAAGACGATGTGGACAGACACAGGGACAAGGCCATCTACGAGCCAAGGAGCGAGGCCCGGAGAAGTCCTTCCCTTGTGTCTTCAGAGATTTTAAACTCCTGGCCTACAGAACTATGAGACAATAAATCTCTAATGTTCTCAGCCATCCATTAGCATTACTTTGTTATGGCAGCTATAGGAAACCTACACTACTTCTTCATCCCAATACCCTTCTGTTCTCTCCTCATTTTTTCTTCTCTCCTTGTTAGTTTCTGAACCTAACAATGGCAGCAGCTATATACACTCAGATCCCTTGGTAGTGAGGGACAGAAGGTGGAAAGGCTCCACAAAGAAGAATGAATGACTTTGAGTTGCCCTTGCTTTTCCCTCCTCAAGTCAGAAAATCGGTATACACCTCTATGGCCTTCCTCCCATTCCTAATTGTTCTAAATTTTTTCCACAGTCTTTTCCTGCTCAGTGCAAATTAGTGTGTTTAACACATTCACTCCATGGGGATTGCTATTGTTCTCTTTTTCCATTTTTCTTTATCCCAGAAGTCATTTAGTTGGCTTGCTAGATTATTTATCACTATTTTTACTTGTTACCGTTGACAAGCAGACAAAAATATCTCTTAAAGAAAAGCTTTAATGAGGAAAAGGGATTCCAGATAGAAAGATAAGGAAGGCCATATTCCCCGCCCCATCTCCACTCCTCCACGGAATTGGTTCGAAGAAAAATAAAATGAGAATACACACAGCCAGTAGCTTATTTTAGAACAAGGGTTTCTGCTAAAAGCAAGACCTCGGGCTTTTACCGAGTACATTAAGGTCTTACTTTTTGAGCCCTAATAACATTTCACCTTCTGATGCCACGGCAAGTCTGCTATGCCAAGATAACTATATGTATTCAGTGGCATTGGCTCATTTATAGTAGCAAATTAAAGAAAAAGAGAAATGAAAGACACCCGTGTACAGAAAAACAATTTCTAAATGGAATGTATGTCATGCTTTTCTTCCTTGTTCTCCAAATCATCAATAGGTGTGTATTAGGTCCCTACTTACTGTAAGGGCCGAGGTGAACAGTCCGAGAATGATGGTGAGCTTTCCCTGATCTATGAATGAGTATTCCAAAAGTTCACCCATACATTAATTTCCTTAATACTTAGAGCACACTTGTGTTCATCAGTTCATCCACTCAACAAACATTTCTTCAGTGCCTATATTTACCAGACACAGCACGGGGTGCCAGGGATTCGGTATGAGAAAGGAGGCTTGGGCTCTGCCTTGCACTTACCCAGCAGGACACAGGCTAGCGAGGGCACAGACATTAGTCAAACAATCACAAGTGAAGCAGACCACTATGAAATGGGTCTGGTGCTATGGAAAGTATGGGTTATGGGGGGACAGAAGATGGGGCCAAGCTTAGGGGAAATGGGCCATCAACTAGCTTGGTCAAAGGGGTCAGGGGCGCCACAGAACAGGAACGTGAGGCATGAGGATGAGATGAGGAGGCGCCAAGGTAGTCAGGGCTCCAGGTCTAGGAACACTAACCCATGCTTGAGAACCTGGGAAAAGATGGTCATGGGGTACCCAAGATTGAGCGTGCACTGCAGAGAGCAGAGGCAACATTTTGACATGGACACATGTTTCTCGAACACTTTCCAAAATGCTTTCCTGCCCTCTCCACTGCTAATCCCGAGACCCTCGTGGGCCCTTGAGGTCTGGACTCCAGCACTACTATCTGCAAGAAGACAGCAGGAAAGGATGGTCTCCAGCATGCACAACCGTGCCTGGGCATCTGTGTTTCCTGAAGCTCTCTTTCCTTGCAGCTAATCTCAGGAGGGAGATGGGTGAGCTCCTTTATAAGAAGGTAAAAGTATCTGAAAGTCTTTCTTGGGGTGTGTGTGTGCATGGGAGTGTGTGTGTGTGTGTGTGTGTTCCAACTGAAGGAACTTCAAGTAATATAAAAAAGTAAACTGAAAAATATCAGAAACGGTAGAAGCAAATATTCTTGGGCAAGAAGCACTGCCTGGGAATCTAATCATGGGATCAGTTCTTTTTTCCCCCCAATGTTTCTGTTTCCTACTTGAGCTCAGAGATTCTCTAAACATGGTGCCTGACCCTTCGCTATTAAGAAGCTACTCGGCCCCTCACATGATGTAATAGGAAGAGAGATATTGAGGACACAGACAAAGGTTGCCTTGTGGGGGGCTGCATATGGGGGAGTGAATAGTTTGCTGCCAATACAGGAGGAAGAGGAATGGGGAGATAGTGGTTCGGAAGGAGAGTCAGATGGTGGAATGTCTACCATGGTTTTCTCCTACAAGGAACACAAAGATACGCCATATCTGGGGGCCCTTCTCAGTCCCACTTGAGAGGCTCAGGAAGTTGTCATGGGGGCCAGAGAAAGAATGATATCGGACCTATGGCTTTGAAAAGCTCCTCTTGAGTAAGATATCCAACTGGCAAGCGGTAGATCCAGAGGCTGGTGCCCTTTATCAACTCATTTGCACAATGTGATCACAGCCAATCACAGGTTGGCGTGCATGTCAACCTTGGGATGTCATGACTAGGATTCTCAGAGCAGTCACGTCTTCAGAGCTGCAGGCAATACTGGGGCAGCCTTGCCACATAATAATAATAATAATAATAATAATAATAATAATAATAATAGCTAATACCTGGTGCCCGGCACTGGTTCATAGGTTTAAATGTACTAACTCACTTGCACCGACCTCTGAGGTGGGTACTATTTTTGTCCCCATATTACTGTTGAATTTTTTCTCAAGGTCACACAACTAGCAAAGTGGCAGAGCTGGAATTCAAACAGCCAGGTGCCGAACCATGACCCTGGGCAGGTTACCTGTGTAAACAGAGCATTTTACATGAAATACCGCCTAGACCTTAAGGTGCACCAAGTGGACCAGTGACAGGCTGGGACTCCACCTGGACTGAGAACCATGCACCCTTGGGCGTTGGCGGAGTGTCTGTGCCATGTGGGTGGGGCCGTGGCTGCCACCCTGGTGGCAAAACCACCCCCACCCTGGGGAGCCCCCTGACACCCCACACCAGGCACCATAGTGACCAGTCTTCAGATACTACAATGTTACTACTTCTTGGTCATGGATACCACAATCCTTTAGAATAATTCTGCTATTGGATGGTGTAGGGCTCCAGCTCCCAGACCATCTTCTGAAGGTGTACAAGCCAAAAGAGAAATGCACATCTCTTCATCCAGTAACCACATAAGGATGTTTCTCCTGCTAGTGATTCAGAATATAAAGGGGAGACATATCCACCCTCCTCTATGTTCTTCCCCACAACCCCCAAATTCACTCACCTATTAAGAGGTCCCTAGCTGACTGGAGGGACCTTGGAGAGAAGAGCTTCAGGCCATAGACAACGTAAGTGGGAGGGTGCCGGGCTTTGGCCCCTGTATTAAGAAGCAAAATAAGGCCACACAGCACACAAAAATAGATTGGTCTGCTATATGTTATGATTTGGTTGTGTCCCTAGAAAAAAACACAATTTCTGAATGGTACCTATTATTTTGATTAACAAAAGCTTCATAGTCAGTAATTCACATCATATCATATCATATCATATCATATCATATCATATCACACAACTTAAAACATAAATCACATTCTCCCCCCTCTCCCTCCATAATTCATATATACAAAACACCAGGAAAAGAAAAAAAAACTCTGATACTTATTCTGACAATTAAGAACAAGAATATAAAAAAGAATGTTATGCCTCTCAGACTCAACAAGATTTAGCCGAAAATTTAATTACCACCCTTAGATACAATCTAGATCTAATGCAACGCGTCCCTAATAGTGAAACATCCATTTGTATTGTTCATTTCAAGGGCAAAACGAAGATAAACCCTTATTTGCTCTACATGGTCTAACTTGAGCCCTGCTATTAATAAGAAACAGAATTATAAGTGGTGGGCTTCGATTTCCTTGTCTTAAAAAGCAAGCTAATACAGGTGCAAAGTTACACCCGCAGAGATTGCATAAAACATCTTAGTGTAGCACAGGGGGAATAATCCAATTTTTAAAAAGTCACCATTTATATACATTTTCCTTTGAGGAAGACCAAAAACTTAACAGATCTCATCTTAGCCCTCAAAATATTGCTATGAGGAGAAGTAGAAACATTTTTATTCTTCTCCTTAAATAGAAAAATTAAGGAAAAGATATAACATCAAACTTTCCAGGGCAAAAGCCAATGAAGAATTTATATGTCACAAACCAAAGCACAATTCATAAAGTTCAAAAAACCAACAAAAATGAATTAGGGGGAGAATATTCTTTGCAATTCATGAACTACTTTGGGTATAAAAAGTAAAGATTAAAGTGATATGGGTTCGCATGTGCATATTTAAAGTCACTGCCTTGAACATAGTTATATTTAGAAATGCAATTTAAATTGCCACTGCTTCTATAATAGAATGGTCCTATTCTGAGACCATCTTTTAATAGGAAGGAAAACACAGGCTGTCCATGGGGACTGGCTATGTTTGGCCCTGAGTCCAGACTCAGTCTTGAAAGGAATATTTGCACTCTTCAGAAATTTCCTTTTGAATCCAACTGGGTCATAGATTAGTGGGTATGGGAATACTTTTTGGGCATTAAAAAAAAAATTGAAACTAAAGCCTAAGTGAAATCTTAATGCATTTCTTATCAAGTGAAAAGCAAACTAACTTGGTTGGTATAGACAGCTACTTAATATACAAATACACAAACATATAAGACATTCCTCAAAGTGACACCATTTAGGATATAAAATTAAAGAGCTGCCTCCCACTTGCCCTGATTCTTCCTTTTCCTAAAAGGTTAAAAATACATTTTCTAGGAATTGAAAGTCTGGTCTTGAACAAGTTTGTGATATCATCTTAAATCTGCCAAGTCAAAGTTTATTTATGGGCATGGGAACGCTCCCTTCGTAATTGTAATTTATGAGACAAAACTTAAGGCTGGCTCCCTGACAAAGAGCCTGCTCTCATCATCATGCCAAAGCTTCGCTTCACTTCCCATTCTATGTTTTGGGTCCCTCAACCATTCTAAGCATATCACTAATGTGTGGCATAGATGTCACTTTTATTTTCCTTGATTCCTAAGAAAGCCTACTAAAAATATTCATTCCCCTGCTCCCCAATTCCTTGTTTCACATATGAATCAACCATCAGACCCCTGAGGACTGATGTTTCTTTTTTCCAGTAGGAAAATTCCACTCGCTCCTCCAGGTGAAGTCTGATCAGTCTTTTTTTTACAACTCATCCAACTATTTCCCGTGTGATTTCAACTTTAAAATACCCCAGGGGAGCGTGCCCAGCTTCAGCTGTGGGGCATCTTGGAGGATGTCCGCATGTGCAGCTGGATTCCCCATCAGCCCCCGCCACACGTACAAGGTCACCACCCCGCTTTGGGAGCAGTGCAGCAGAAGGGTGAGGTGAAAGAGTCTATCCACATCTCCAGGAACCCCCCCTCTGGAGAGTGGGGGTGCATGTGGCTAAGGGACGAGGCCATTAGAATTCTCCTCTTATCAAGACATCAGGCTGGTTGAATGCTTCAAACTTGTTAAGGAAAAAATAAAAGGCGTTTATTCTAAGGAAGAGGGGGGCTCAGAGAATCTGGAGTGCACTGGGCCTCGGCAGTGAGGAAACCCGGGCTGTGAACACCAGCCCATCTCAGCCAGCCGCAGGTGCCGGCTCCAGGCTCTCGGCCCGCGGGTGTCCTCTGCTTCCTCGGTCCGCAGGGCAGCAAAGGGCCCCCTCATACCTGTGGAGGCTGCACACCTGCTCCTCCAGCCATGTTCAGGGGCCCAGGATTTTTGCTGGCGGCTGTGAATTTATCTCACGCCAGGCCCCATGCTACCCACATGGTTAATCCTCGGTACAGCGCTAAGAAGTATTTATTATTCTCATTCTGCTACGAGTAAACTGAGGCATACGTTTTATGCCTTAATTTTTTGCCAAATTAAGAAATCTGCCCCCGGCTTCCCGGGCAGGAAGCAGTGTGGCCGAGCAAGGATTTGGCTCCTGGGTGCTAGCCACTACATCCTGTCCCCCAGCAACAACCAGGAAGAGGAGAGTATTCGCCACTGGGGCCTCCCAGGCCCAAGAACTCAGCCTGACTTCACAGAATTTCATTCATAATCATTCTTTAAACACATTCTGCAAAGCAAATATAGAGTGTGGGGGAAAGCATTAGCAATAGCTTTGGGGTGTTGACTTTTCCTAAGAGAGCTCTGGAGCGTGGAGAGTGGGGAGAACCATAACCCCACGTCCCGTCCACTGCTCTGGGACACTGTGTTAGGGACGCTGAACCCCCATCGCTAACATAGGAATGGCTGTTTCATAGTTTCTTGCGATGGTGCAGGTTCGTTTACTCAGATCTCATCTCTCCGTGCCTGTTGATGAGTTCTTTTTTACTCTAGCATTAACAACTCAGCTGCCGTTTAGAGTCATCTGAGCGTTTTCAACGATATGTTTCAGTCGCCCGTGTGCGTGGAGCGAAAGGAGGAACGCTGTGGGGTGGGCACGCTCTGCCCTACAGAGAGCAGAGCCCCAGGAAAGCCTGAGCAGGTGAGTAGTCTGTGACTCCCCACCTGGGGTGTAGAGGAGAACCCAAAACATTCCAGAGAAGGCAGTAGAGGAGATAAGCAGCAACCAAAGGGCCAAATAATTCCTATCAGCTGACTGTTAAAATGCTACTTCCATTTAAATACGGTGGAAATCTGACCAGCTACTTTAAAAATTGAAAAGGCACAGGCAAATGAGTTTCTGTAAGCTCAGTTTATAATTTCATATAGTTTACAATTTCATTTCACAGAATGATGTATTTCAGGGCCAACTTCCTAACTTTCAGGTCTATGAATTTTGACAAATGGGTTGATTATGTTGTCCAACCAAGGGGGCAGCGAAGTGCCCAAGACAGTACCCTCAGAGTGGGGGCCAAGGTGCCGTCCGCTCTGCCCCCACCTACCTTACACATTTGCCCACTGCCTCAGCACTTCCCTCCGCGGCAGTGAAAGACAGACGGGAGGGTGGTGACCTAAGTTCCGCCCCTATCTCATGGCAGAAATTCAGTAGATAAGAATTCAAAAAAGGCCATTTGGAGTGGCGCAGGCTTTAAAGAACACTTTTTTTGGAGCAAAGTAAATACCCAACTGAAGAGATAAACATAATTTCATTTTCAATCAAGAGCCACTAAAGACTAAGTTGACCTTCTTATTTCTAGGACTGAGAATTGAGAAAATTTTTGTATGTCATTCAAAATCATTCCTCTGATAAACACTAGGAGATCATGGTAAGTCACGTAGACAGTATGTACCCTCAACATGACATGATGAAAATGGCTCTTCCCCTCTATGGTCTTGCTCCCACAGTTGTACAACCCCAGTCTAATCATAAGATAGACATCAGATAAATCCCAGCTGAGGGGTGGGCTACAAAATCCCTGACCAGTAATACTCCCCAAAACTGTCAAGATCATCAAAAAATAAGGGAAGTCTGAAAAGCTGTCACGATAACTAAATGCAATGTGGTATCCTGGATCCTCAAGCAGAAAAGGAACATTAGGTTAAAACTAAGAAAATCTGAGTAAAATATGGATTTTAGTTACTAATAATGTATCAATATTAGCTCACGAGTTGTGATAAATGTGTGGGGTATGGGAACTCTCTGTACTATCTTCCCAAATATTCTGTAAATCTAAAACTGTTCTAAAATAAAAAGTATATTTACAAATATCATTCCCCAGGCACATGGGTGGCTCAGTCAGTTAAGCGTCTGCCTTCGGCTCAGGTCATGATCTCAGGGTCCTGGGATGGAGCCCCACATCGGGCTCCCTGCTCAGCGGGGAGTCTGCTTCTCCCTCTGCCCACTCATGCTCTCTCTCTCTCAAATAAATAAATAAAATCTTTAAAAAAAAAATCATTCCCAGTGATTTTTAAAATAACAGGAAGTGGTACCAAATGTCTTCACTGTATAGTAGCCAGAATTGATTGAATAGAACACATAACAAGTTACAGCCCTTGTTCTTTGGAGTTTGTACCATGAGCAAGGAAACAGGAAACTTACTATATTATAGGCCCAGTGCTGGCCTCATTATATATATTGTCCAATTCACTCTTTACCAAATCCAACTGAGGTTGCTCTTATTATCCATATTTTGCCCACAAAAAACTGCTAAAATTTGTCAAGTGCTTCCACAGTACCAGGTACTATGCTGAGCACTTGACTACAGTATCTTCTTGTTCAATCCCCTTACAATCCTGTTTCATGATTTCCTCTTTTACAGGTGAAAAACCTGAGATACATAGAAATAACTTGCCCAAGATCTCTGGGTTTGTACATGGTAAGGCTGGATTCAAATCCCCAAACCTACACACCACCCCAGGGTTGCTCATGTGGCATCTGAAATCACCACCATTATCATCACCTGGCAGTGGGGGGGTGTGGAGATTCCCAGGTGCTGCCCCAGCCAGACCCACTCAGAATCCCTGCAGGTGCTGGAAAAGGCACCTGAGTCTGGCTCTGTGCAGGACATGCCCATTTTTTGCTGCCTCTTAGATATCCTACTGAACTGGGGTGCCTCGTGGCTCAGTCGTTAAGCGTCTGCCTTCGGCTCAGGTCGTGATCCCGGGGTCCTGGGATCCAGCCCTGCACTGGGTTCCCTGCTCTGCGGGAAGCCTGCTTCTCCCTCTCCCACTCCCCCTGCTTGTGTTCCCTCTCTCACTGTGCCTCTCTCTAATAAATAAAATCTTTAAAAAAAAAAAAGATATCCTACTGAACTTTGCTTTCTGGGTGATCATCAGTGGTTACTGTTGGTTAGACCCGTGTATAGATCTGGATAAGTCAGTGAAAAGCCTCATCATCCATTATTATATGGTGAGTCTCTGATCCTCAAATGCTGTCAGTATCCACCCAAACTATCAATTTTTTAAGCTCTCCTATAAAAGTTTTCTTTTATAACCAGATGCATTTCTGTCAGGCCCAGGGTCTGTTGTACTGTATCTATTAACACATCATTAATCCTGCATTTATATCTGAAATATACAGAGTGTTTGTATTTTTGCTATCTTCTGGTTTGAACGGCTGGCTCAAAATTCGCCACCTGTGTGCTCTGGAAGGAAACAAAGAAGAAACATCGGCCAATTGCTCTAAGAGCAAGAATTGACTGAATTTGGTAAAAACCCCTTCCCGGCAACGGTAAGCAGCCAAAGCAGTGTAGTTTTGAAAAGCATCACGTGATGCCCAGGGCTAGAATTGGCGGCGGGCCTGAGAGCCGCCTCTGTGCCCAGACTTGGTTTGCTCCCCTGACCACCTCCTTTCTGAGGTTTTCACATTTATAATCTGGAGATGGTGTATCCGCCTTCTCAATGCCCACCTGGCTCAGGCAGATGGCAAGAGGAAACACTGTAGCTCCCGTATTTTCTCTTCCCACTAGAACTGTGAGCAAACTGGCAATCCAAATCGGGGGCTACTCTACTGAGAAACCTGTGTGAGCAAATTAATAAACACATGTCTGATTATGACAGTAAGAGAAGTCATTTCTAGATACTCCCTGACTGTGCACATGCTGGCTCACATACAGGGATAGCTGCTTGACCGGGCCCTTTAGGAGCTAGACCACTTGACGCACGGTACTCCAGTTTAGAGCAATGACAGAGGGGGGCTGCTACCAGCCATGACAAATCCACAGGGATTGAGCAGTTGTCCTCACCATCACCTCTCCTAGCATGTTCTGCATTATTGCGGAAGGTACCTGCAGGAAATGAGTGTTTAATAGCATCTAACACCCCTCCCCCAAGTCACCCAAGAAAGCGGTGACACTCAAGTGCCATTACTAGAAAGGAGGTTTTATTTCCTGAAGCAGATGGAGGAGGATGCAGCATCCAATGTGGGCTTGAGCAGAGACTTCAGAGCTTCCCATCTCTGCACACACCACCTAACCCAGATTTCTGATGATAATCACAACAATACATCTTAATACCCTAATTATGCTGCTTCTACTTATCTTGACATTCAGACTCTGGACTAAAAGAAGATGTATTATATGTAAACCAATTATGGGGAACAGAGGAATTTAACAAGATAGCAACGTATGCCATGTGATCGTCCAATTATAAGCTTTTCTTAATTACTATGAGCTAAATATGAGCTATCACAGATTTAAAAGCATTCCTAAATCCTGGATATGAATTTTTTAAAAGCACAATGGAGGGAAGATCAAGCTTTCTTTCTCTGGAAGGGTTTCGGCGGGGGGCGGGCACAGCTCACCATAACAAAGGAAAGAAGGTCCTCAAAGAGCTGAGAAGTCCGCCAGGCAAGGGCTCGGCACAAAGGTGTGCAGTTGGGGTACCTGCGGGGACCGTGCCAGACCCCGTCCCCCGGCACCCCGCAGGGGCAGGGCAGCTGGGTCAGTGGAAACCATGCTCATAGAAGGACGCGGGAGCACCAACAGATCAGTATGGTGAGCCCAGAGGCTCCGCTCTAAGTTAGCCCAAAGTTATGTGGACGAAAAGTAACAATACTCTTGCAAAGGTGGAACGGGAGATCAGCTTCATGTAAAGAGCATAATGACTAGTGCTTACACAATGATGTTACCAGGAATGCTAGCTCCCCGCTCACTCAGCAACATCTTATTCAATCCCTAGAGGCATTTTCATTATCCTTGTTGACATGCAGAGAAACAGAGACAGGGCAAGTACACATATCCTGCTCAGGGTCCAACATTCAGCGGAGGAACCGGGAAACAGAAGCAGGCAGTCTGACTGTAGAGACCAGTCGTCACCCCCTGGGCTGCATGGTTGGCCCTGACGTGAGGCCAGTGGGATAGAAAAGACCCTCTGCATCCTGTTACCCCCCCTTGCCCCCCGACTACCACCCACACCACGCTCTCAGATCTAGCCCAAATTTGGCAATCATGCATTCATATTTCTATTTCTATATTCACTATACGTACATTGATATATATTTTGCCTTTTGAATAGGTTTTGTTCCTCTATCTTTAACACAAGCAGACAAGATAAGCTACTTGCCCGTTATTTGAAACTTACGTGGATTGGCGAGGCAGGGTCAGGCTGAACGCTCTAGAACAGAAATCAGAGGTCTCTGTGTCATCATCTCATGATTTCAAGGGTACATTAGTGATGGTAAGAATTAGAGGTGGTCTTGCCTTTAACAGGGAATACTGGCAGCTGGCCATGACAAGGCAGAAGAGGAGCACCCACATGTCCTTGCAAAAGCCTTGGTTCAATGTCAGAAATCCGAGGAGGGAAACCAGGACAATGAGTAGAACTGCCAGCACATTTTCCTTGACATCTTCCGTTCTGTGTAAAATAAACAAATGAAAACAAAGGAGATAAAAGGTAAGCCTGTTTCTAAAGATAATACCTGAACACAGAGACAGCAGAGTAGTCGCCTTAAGCATGCCTTTATATTTGGTAACAAAATTTTAAGGTTTCTTTTCCTTCTTTCCTTCCTTCCTTCTTTCCTTCTTTCCTTCTTTCCTTCCTTCCTTCCTTCCATTCTCCCTGTATTTTATAAGCAAAATCCATATTTTAACCCCAGTTTCCTATTATTGAAATAAATGAAATATAATTCCACTGAGTCTCCGTTATCACTAAACTGGGCCTCCTGGGGAAAACAGTTAACTATTCTGTCCGCTACGTGAAATGCGTTTCAGACAAAGAGCTGCGCTGGTTCCTTTCGATGGGGGGAGGGGAGGAAGTGCATTAACACCTGGCTAAAGCAGGAAATCCTTTCCAGATACAAGCTCTGCAGCCAGAATTTGCTTCCCAGTTTCCAGAGCCAGGAGAGCTCCAGCCAGAGAGCTAACGTGCAGAGGGTCTGACTGAGGTGTGTCATGACCACAGTCTCCCTGGGTGGTGTTCTCTTGAGGGACCTCTGGGCTCATCCAGAGAGGGGTGCTGTCACTGAGTGTGAAGGGAGACAAGTAAGGGAGCTTGAAGATGATAAGACAAAGGGATGAATGCTGGGTCTTGGAGGCTAAGTAGGATGGGGAGGCAATGAGGATAGGAGAAGCTGCTAGATGAGAATAAGTGGTTGGATCAAGTGCTCGGGATGGCTGGGCAACATTTGAGGTGGGATTATGACTTTAGAGGTGAAAGACTTCTATGGAAGGACAACACGCCGGGCATAGTGATGGGAGGAAGAGGCTGAAATGGAGTAAGGGAGTATGGTGTCGACTGCAAGTTCAGGAGCATAGATGGGTCATTCCCAAGAATTCTGAGCATATTTTTTGCCTCACCAATTTTTGCTCATGTACATACATTATTGTTAGGAAGGGATTATTGTCTACTTCATTCCTGGCAAGTGGGCACTTGTGAGCATTTTTTTGTAAATGAATAGACATTATTTTAAGAGCAGTTTCAGATTCACAGCAAAATTGAGGGAAAGTATAAAGAGTTCTCACATAGCCCCTCCCTGCAAACACACACACACACCCCCTGTCCCACCATTAACATCCCCCACCAGAGTGGTACATGTTATAATCAGCCAACTAACAGTGACACATCATTATCAACCGAAGTCCATACTCCGCATTATGGTTCATCCTTGGTGTAATACATTCTGTGGGTTTGGACAAATGTATGGTGAAATGTATCCACAATTATAGTAGCCTGCAGAGTATTTTTACTTCCCTAAATGTCCTCTGTTCTGCCTATTCACCCCTGCTTTCCCCCAACTTCTGGCAGTCATGGATCTTTTTGCCATCTCCACAGATTTTCCTTGTCAGACTGTCAGATAATTGGAATCATACAGCAGGGAGCCTTTTCTGGTCAGTTTCTTTCACTTAGTAATATGCATTTAAGGTTTATTTGTGTCTTTTTTAATTAATTTTTTTTTAAAGATTTTATTTATTTATTTGACAGAGACAGCGAGAGAGGGAACACAAGCAGGGGGAGGGAGAGAGGGAGAAGCAGGCTTCCCACTGAGCAGGGAGCCCGACGCGGGCCTTGATCCCAGGAATCCGGGATTAAGACCTGAGCCGAAAGCGGACGCTTTAACGACTGAGCCACGCAGGTGCCCCAATTTATTTATTTGAGAGAGTGTGAGAGATCGAGAGAGAGCAAGAGAGCGCGAGCAAGGTGAGAAGCAGAGGGAGAAGCAGGCTCCCCTCTTTGTGTCTTTATATGGCTTGATAGCTCATTTCTTTTTATCGCTAAATACTATTTTACTATATGGACGTACCATGGTTTATCTATTCACCTATTAAAGTACATCTTGGTTTGTTTCTAAATTTTGGCAACTATGAATAAAACTTCTATAAACATCCACGTGCAGGGTTTTGTGTTAACCTAAGTTTTTAATTCATTTGCACCAAGGAGCATAATTGCTGGGTCATATGGTAAGAGTATGTTCGGTTTTGTAAGAAACCACCAAGTTATCTCCCAAAATGGCTTTACCATTTTGCATTCCCACTAATGACAAATGGGAGTTCCTGCTGCTCCATACTGTTGCCCACATTTGGTACTGTCAGTGTTTTGGATTTGGCCATTCCAATAGGTGTGTGTATCTCACTGTTGTTTTCATTTGCAATTCCCCAATGATGATGTGGAGTATCATTACATATGCTTACTTGCCATCTGTATATCTTCTTTGGTGAGGTGTCTGTTCATATCTTTTTCCTATTTTTTAATCAGGCAATTGAGATGTACAGAATCAAGATGCATAGAAATGTGAAGAAGTCAGATATTATGATGCTCAAGCTGAAAGTTAAAAAAAAAATTTCGGGGGGGGGATCAAAATATATTTGGTAAAAAGGAAAATTTATGGGTTTTGTTTGTTTGTTTTCCACTATGCACTTCTTACAGAGCTAAATATATTTTGTTAGTTCAGGTCCATAAAATTCTTTATGTATTTTTTAGAGTGCTCATAACATTTTGATGTATACTTAAAAATATCTAACGGCTTAGGAACTTTTAAAAAAAACAAAAATTTCAATTAAATGAACAGACTTTTTTCCTATTTGGGGGAAAAATAACATTCCTGAAAAATATTTTTCCCCAGATCTTCCTCCAGCAGGACTCCATTCCTCTGCCCCAGCCCCCCATCATTCCACTCCCAAGGCTCCTCATGCATCTCTATGTAAATACCAGGTGAAAAAGTTTACTCACTGGGCAAGGAGTGTCATGATTAAGGCTGTACTTTAGAAAGATTTATCTGGCAGAGGTTCACAAGATGCACTAAAGGGGAAACAGCGGAGCGAGGATAAACAACACTCCAGGGGAGAAGTAATGAGGGTCTGGAAGAGGGTCAAGGTTGGGAGGCTGGAAAGGCAATGTGACTTTGAGACACAATACAGACCAGAGGGGAAAGGACTTTGAACGGACTGTGTACAGTGAAGGATTGACTGAAAGAATAAAGATGATTTCAGTCTGGGGAAGAAAGGATTGTGGCAGAGTCAATGGCAGAAGTTAGGAAGGGGAGCTGGTTTGCAAAGGGACATTGATTTGTTTGTTCATGCAAGACTGCTTGGCACCACTCTAGATACTTGGAATACATCAGTGAACGAAACTTCTGGAACTTTCTTTCCAGTAGGCAGTGGCATAAAATATGTAATATGCACACAAAAAAAGTATATTATATAGCATTTGGAGATGATTAGTGCAATCAAAAAATAAAATAGAACAAGGTGAGAAGAAGTACGAGCGTCTGAGTAGGGTTCTGTCGTAATTTTCAGCAGGGAGGTCAGGCTAAGCCCCACGGAGAAGGGTCACTTCTCAAGTGTGCCCCACCTGGGGATTCCTACATGAAGGGGTCAGGAGGCACAGGTTACCTGCCGAGATGATTATGGTATGAAGGAGTAACCAGCAAGACAGGAGGAAAACCAAGAGGGGGCTGAGTCCTGGAAGCCAGGAGAGGAAAAGCATACCAAGGAGGAGAATCGACTTTGTCAGAGGCTGCACATGGGTCTCATAAAATGACGGCAGAATGGTGAGGTCAACGGTGACCTTGACATGGGCAGGCTTGGAGTCTGTCCAGGGAGTGAATGGAATGGGCTTATGAGAGAATGGGAAAGAGAGACCGCAAACGAGCACAGGCAGCTCTTCACGAAGTTCTGCTGCAAAAGAGCACAGAGAAACCAGACAGTGGCTGGTGGGAGAGTGGGTCAAGAGGACTTCTAAGGATGGGAGAATGAGAGCATGTTCTCAAGATGACGACGATGACCACGAGATCATTCGAGGAGCAGGAACGCTTTTCCCCACAGCTTGTCATGTGGCTGACTTATCCTTCTCTCGTTTCTATCTCCGTCTGCGTGCGTCACCTCAGAAAAGGCTTCTGCAACCCCCTGTTCTGACATGAGTGTCCCTTCGTTCCCAAATTTCTCTACCTCAGGCCTTTGTGTGTGTCTTTCATGTGTCTCCCTCGTGCAGCAGAATTCGAGGGTAGGGTGCTAATCCTCAGTACCCAGTGCAGAGGAGCCTCGCACGGAGCAGGTGCTTGGCGTTTGGGGCTTTTTAATTTATTGAATGAATGAACAAAGGAATGAAATGATGCTCAGATGGGCAGCTTTTTCTTTTAGAGGCCAATCCGGAAAACTAGATAAATGAAAATAAAACCTATGTGTTTTGCAAGATGAGGTAATAGCAGAATAAAAAATAAGAGAAAATGAAGGAGGGGCGCCTGGGTGGCTCAGTCCATTAAGTGTCCAACTCTTGATTTCGGCTCAGGTCATGATCTCAGGGTCCTGGAGTTGAGCCCCACATCAGCTCTGCACTTAGCACGGAGTCTGCTTGAGACTCTCGCTCTCCCTCTGCCCCTCCCTGCCGTGTGCTGTCTCTCTAAAATGAATAAATAGATCTTTTTTTAAAAAGGGAGAGAGAAAATAAAGGAGCATAAGGACAAGTCCAAAAATATATGAGGAGAATGAATGCCGAACCGAAAGCAAACTGTAAAATCTGCAATTATAAGAACCATGAAGGTATGATCAGAGAAGGAAGTATTTTCAAGGAAGATCAGCCTGAATTCCAGAGTAAAGTTGAAAATTACCAAACAGAAGGCCTTAAGCTATGGGAGTTTATAGCGATGATTAGCTCAGTTTTGGTGCCTGTAATTCACCAATTTCCTCTACTTCCTGCCCAACCCTTACTGTTTGTTTTTTATTATGCATACTTTTCCTTTATAAACCTTAATTTGGCAATTCAAGTTCATTAATCCATGTGGAGCTTTAAATACAAATGTCCCCCAATGAATATCAAAGGTAATTTATTTATGCCTTTTGAAATTTTACTATTAGAGTAAAAAAATGTAAAATTTATTGTGTAAATTCCTGTTTTCTTAAACAGACCTTTCCGATCATCGCTGTCCTAACTAAGAAGGTGAGCTAGGGAGGTGTGCCATAATACAGCCCTACATTGTCCTCAAGGCCAGGCTGAAGGGCTGACTTCTCATGCTTGGAATCTGTAGTTTTACAAAGCTCCCAGGTGATTCTGATCCACAGCCGTGTTTGGGGAAAATACTCTCCTTGCAAAGGTCCCAAGCTGCTAGGTTTTTCCAGGTTAGTGTTTGGGTTTTTCTTCCTCTGTCCTTGCTGTTAGCTCAGGGTTCATGCTGTCTTATTTCCCCTCTTAATTGGCCATGAACTGGAAAACCAGATCCCCTCATGTGCTAATAGATGCCTGAAAGTCAGCTTATATGGGCTCTGAAGATGGGGTGATTTCTCGAATTAAGGGCCTAAATTTTAGTGTCTGGGCTTGACAAAAGCTACTTTGGCTGCCCTGATTTCATTTTATTTTTATTTATTTTTCTTCTTTCTGGGTTCTGGGAAAATTCCAGGTCATAATAACAATAACAGCATTTAAAGAACACTTTCTATGGCTAACTTGATTTAATCCTTGAAATCTCTCCCTATATAGATTATCCCCATTTAACAGACAGGAAACTGAGGCACAGGGAGGTTTCACACCCATCCTTAGATCACAGCACTAGTAAGTGTTGGGCACTGGGCCTGATCCCCAGGTTCTTTCCACACCAGTTGAGGGACCCATGAGTAAGGGAGTGGTGCTGTCTCCACACATCCCCGAACACTGCCTTGAAACCCAGTGTGACCTGCAACAGAAGTGATTAAAACTATAAAACTCTAAACTTTTAAAAACTGCAATAATCTTCATCAATCTTTCTTAGACCTTAATTAAATTATCAGTTAATGTGTTGCCACTGAGTGGATTTAAGTAACACGCCTAGAAATCTGTAGAAATATTTGTTTCTAATTGAAGGGTTAACACAAGGTAATCCAACTTTCAAGAATTCCTTTTTAACAGAAAATAAAATTAATATTTCAGGAAAAAAAAAACCTGCCTCATCTAACAGGATGTATTATCTCGGACTAGTTCAGTTACATTTGAAATGTTCGTCTTGAGTGTGCGCCCCTGGGGTGACATAGCGTTGTTAGAAAAACCATTAGAACTCCATTCCCTGACTTGTGGGTCCTGAAATTTACTATTGTAATTTTGCATGACTATAGTTTTTTAGTGTATGATCACACCATTTAAGACATTACTATAACAAGTAGTCACTGGGGGACCCACTACAGCAAGGCAGGGAATCAGCCTTCCCACTGCCCCCACTGGCTGGCATTTAACCGTGAAACTCTGCATTGGCTGATGATGGCGTCAGTAAAGGCATCTTGGATTTTCAAACCAACACTCCCATCAGAACTGCATGGCCCCTGAAGATCAAAATCCTGTCCTTTGTATACCGTGAGATGGGGGTGGGGGGTGGGGGCAGAGGTGAAAATGGGAAGACTCTGACCTGGCCCCATCTCCACCATGCCTTAACTAACTGGACCCTCTCCTATCTCCCTCCCCGTCCACTGACTACTTCTCCAACCCCACACTGGATCAATGGAAAGAAGAGGCGAGAAATAGTAAAAGGGTTTAAAAGGAAAGACTAACATTCCAACTGGTGGATCTCTTCATTTGCCCTTGTCCCCCCCTCACCCCCGCCCCCCGTCCACGTCCAGTCGGCCAGGCTCTGTGCTACCCATGGAACCTCAAGCCTTCCTACGAAAATGTGGGAAGCCACGAGGAGACCAATGCATGACCCCATGCACAGGGCTAACCTGAAGTCTAAACCATGTTCCCTAATTCTCATATCTCCCACTGTCTCCAGTTGTCAGGATCTCACCGCTTCGCCTTTGGGTTTGCAGCACAAAAGGTATACGTCTTGAAAACGTTCCAGAGAACGCGAGCAAGTGGCAATTTCTTTTTACAAGCATGCAAGTGCACTCTTATGACCCCATCGTGTCTTTCATCCACGCATTTGTGTGCTCAGCGGCTTACCGATCAAGTAACGCCAACAAGGTAAGTCGATCGTACCAGACTTTAATCCACTTGCCAGGGAAAATGATAAACTTGTAAAACTGCTCTCGGTTAAATTTTCCTTGTGTTGAAGAACATGACGAGTCTTCCAGATCCTGACTCAGATGCTTTTAGGTACCAAAAGAAACAACAGAGAAAGCGTTTCATACTGACATGTTATTATCATAAATATACCTCATAATAACAGAAGTACAAAAAGCAGATGTTTCAATTCTGAAACGTAAACCAACATATTTAATAAAAATGGGTACTCTCAGAGAAAGATAATGATCAACAAAAAGAGTCTTTCTTACCAACACACTTCAATTCCATTATAATGTACCATTAAATTTACTCCTATCAAAACACTGCTGTTAATTAAGGCCAAGAAACTGCTGTGAAAATAATTCTCATAAAAGATCAGAATTCAACAAAAGATATGAAACGGCTTAATTTTTGAAAGGTATGCTATTTAATGTAATGTTGAAATAAATATTTAAATTTTACCAAGAGTAAAAAGATTTTCATCGCCAATTTTGTAGGTCGTTGGTGGGGCCTGATACAAGAAACACTGACCTATCTGTAGAAAAAAAATCTAAACCAATAAAACAAATGGGAAACAAAAGGGAAAATTTAATTCCAGGTTTAAAATGTATTAGCCGAGGGGGGAAAGATGGCGGAGGAGTAGGGGACCCTATTTCAGCTGGTCCCCGAAATTGAGCTGGATATCTACCAGACCACTCTGAGCACACACGAAACCAGCCTGAGATGTAAGAAGATCGGGATCTCTACAAACAGAATATCATAGGCGGTTGGTTTTGAGGTACGAAGCGGGGAGCCGTGATTCTGCGGGCAGATATCGGAGGATAAACGGCAGCGGGAGGGAGCCTGGCCCTGGGGATCCTACACCGCTGGTGAGTGACAGCCTCACGCGATGCGGATGGGCATAGACTCGCAGACCAGTAGCGGCGGGGGAAAGGACTTTAGGGCAGCCCCCGGGACGGAAACCCAGGGCTGCGGGGTCCCACGCACACGAACTGCAGCCCCCGGGATGCAAACCCAGAGAGCCAGGGTCGCGCTGGTGAATTGCAGCCCCGGGGGTGGAAACCCGAAGCGACAGAGTCCCGCGCACGAGAACTGCAGCCCCCGGGGCCGGAAACCGAAGCAGCGGAGTCGCACTGGCACGAACTGGGAGTGGCTGGCAGTTTTAGAAGCACAAAGAGCAGAGACGTGCCCCAACCTGGAGGCAGGACTGGGAGCACTGCGGAGGGGCGCACAACCCAGGATGTTGCAGTCTATAGCAACACGGACAGAAACGGAGATGGTGTGGCCTGGAGAGCTCACTGAAGAACAGACTGCGGTCTCTCTGCTCTGAGGCAGAGGGTTGGAAACGGTCTCTTCTGCTCTGACTCGAGGAAGAGACGCGGAAAGCCGCCAGGGAAAGCCGCCAGAGAACAAAAGCCCCAAAGACTGATTCCCACTGAGCCCATCCCCCACCACAGGGGCGCAGGGCAACTCCGCCCAAACCGGGCTGCCTGAGTAACAGTGCAGCAGGCCCCTCCCGCAGAAGACAGGCTGGGAAAACAAGAGGCCAGCAACCCTAAGATCCCAAGAAAACAGGTGCATCTTGCTCGGGTTCTGGTCAATAATTTGGACTCTATACATTCCCTCAAACACCCATCAACAGAATGACTAGGAGGAGAAGCCCCCAAAACAGAAGAGACTCAGAGATTATGACTTATGCTGCAGATTTACAAATGGATGCAGATATAACCAAGATGTCAGAGATGGAATTCAGGCTAGCAATTGTGAAGACAATGGCTAGAATGGAGAAATCCATTAATGGCAACATAGAGTCTCTGAGGGCAGAAATGAAAGGTGAATTGGCAGAATTTAAAAATGCTATCAATGAGATCCAATCCAATCTAGATAATCTAACAGCTAGGGTAACTGAGACAGAAGAGAGAATAAGCGACCTGGAAGACAATATAATAGATAAAAAGGGAAAAGAGGAGGCCAGGGAAAAACAACTCAGAATCCATGAAAATAGAATCAGAGAAATAAGTGACACCATGAAGCGTTCCAATGTCAGAATAATTGGAATCCCGGAGGGAGTGGAGAGAGAGAGAGGACTAGAAGATGTATTTGAGCAAATCGTAGCTGAGAACTTCCTTAATCTGGAGAATGAAACAAACATTCGAGTCCTAGAGGCAGAGAGGACCCCTCCTAAGATCAAGGAAAACAGGCCAACACCCCGGCATGTAATAGTAAAACTTGCAAATCTTAGAACCAAGGAAACCATCTTAAAGGCAGTTAGGGGGAAGATTCCTTACGTAAAGAGGGAGGAACATCAGAATAACGTCAGACCTATCCACAGAGACCTGGCAAGCCAGAAAGGCCTGGCAAGACATATTCAGGGTACTAAATGAGAAGAACGTGCAGCCAAGAATACTTTATCTGGCAAGGCTTTCATTTAGAACGGATGGAGAGATGCAGAGCTTCCACGACCGGCAGAAGCTGAAAGAATATGTGACCACTAAGCCGGCCCTGCAAGAAATATTAAGGGGGGTTCAATAAAAGGAGACAGACCCCAAGAGTGATATACAACAGAAATTTACAGGGACAATCTATAAAAACAACATCTTCACAGGCAACATGATGACAATTAATTCATATCTTTCAATAATCACTCTCAACGTGAATGGCCTAAACGCTCCCATAAAACGGCACAGGGTTGCAGATTGGATAAAAAGATAGGACCCATCCATATGCTGTCTACAAGAGACTCATTTTGAACCTAAAGATACATCCAGACTGAAAGTGAAGGGATGGAGATCCATCTTCCATACCAGCAGACCTCAAAAGAAAGCGGGGGTAGCAATTCTTATATCAGACAAATTAGATTTTAAACTAAAATCTGTAATAAGAGACACAGAACGACACTATATCATTTTTAAAGGGTCTATCCAACAAGAAGATCTAACAATTGTAAATATCTATGCCCCCAACATGGGAGCAGCCATCTATATAAGCCAACTGTTAACCAAAATAAAGAGTCATATTGATAACAATACGTTAATTGTAGGAGACCTCAATACTCCACTCTCAGCAATGGACAGATCATCTAAGCAGAAAATCAACAAGGAAACAAGAGCTTTGAATGATACATTGGACCAGATGGACCTCATAGATATTTACAGAACATTCCACCCTAAAACAACAGAATACTCATTCTTCTCGAGCGCACACGGAACTTTCTCCAGAATAGACCACATACTGGGTCACAAATCAGGTCTCAACCAATACCAAAAGATTGAGATGATTCCCTGCATATTCTCAGACCACAATGCTCTAAAACTGGAACTCAATCACAAGAAAAACTTTGCCAGAAATTCAAACACTTGGAAGCTAAAGACCACTCTGCTCGAGAATGTTTGGGTCAACCAGGAAATCAAAGAAGAACTTAAACAATTCATGGAAATCAATGAGAACAAAAACACATAGGTCCAAAACCTATGGGATACTGCAAAGGCGGTCCTACGGGGGAAATACATAGCCATCCAAGCCTCACTCAAAAAAATAGAAAAATCCCGAATTCACCAACTACCTCTACACCTTAAAGAACTAGAGAAAAAGCAACAAACAATGCCTAAGCCACGCGTTAGAAGAGAAATAATTAAAATTAGAGCAGAGATCAATGAATTAGAAACCAGAAACACAGTAGATCAGATCAATGAAACTAGAAGTTGGTTCTTTGAACGAATTAATAAGATTGATAAACCACTGGGCAGACTTATCCAAAAGAAGAGAGAAAGGACCCAAATTAATAAAATTATGAATGAAAGGGGAGAGATCACGACTAACACCAAGGAAATAGAAACAATTATTAGAAATTACTATCAACAAATATACGCCAAAAAACTGAGCAATCTGGATGAAATGGAGGCCTTCCTGGAAACCTATAAGCTGCCAAGACTGAAACAGGAAGAAATTGACAACCTGAGTAGGCCAATAACCAGTAACGAGATTGAAGCAGGGATCAAAAACCGCCCAAAAAACAAGAGTCCAGGGCCTGATGGATTCCCTGGGGAATTCTACCAAACATTCAAAGAAGAAATAATACCTGTTCTACTGAAGCTGTTTCAAAAAATAGAAACAGAAGGAAAACTTGCAAACTCATTCTATGAGGCCAGCATTACCTTAATCCCCAAACCAGGCAAAGACCCCATCAAAAAGGAGAATTTCAGACAGATATCCCTGATGAATATGGATTCCAAAATCCTCAACAAAATCCTAGCTAATAGTATCCAACCAGTATCCAAAGGATCATCCACCACGACCAAGTGGGATTTATCCCCGGGATGCAAGGGTGGTTCAGTGTTCACAAATCAATCAATGTGATAGAACACATTAATAAGAGGAGGGAGAAGAACCATATGGTCCTCTCAATCATCCACCACGACCAAGTGGGATTTATCCCCGGGATGCAAGGGTGGTTCAGTGTTCACAAATCAATCAATGTGATAGAACACATTAATAAGAGGAGGGAGAAGAACCATATGGTCCTCTCAATTGATGCAGAAAAAGCATTTAACAAAATACAACATCCTTTCCTGATTAAAACTCTCCAGAGTATAGGGATAGAGGGAACATTCCTCAAGCTCGTAAAATCCATCTATGAAAAACCCACAGCAAATATCATCCTCAATGGGGAAAAGCTGAGAGCCTTTCCCTTAAGATCAGGAACACGTCAAGGGTGCCCACTCTCACCACTGTTGTTCAACATAGTACTAGAAGTCCTAGCAACAGCAATCAGACAACAAACAGAAATAAAAGGTATTCAAATTGGCAAAGAAGAAGTCAAACTCTCTCTTTTCGCAGACGACATGATACTTTATGTGGAAAACCCAAAAGACTCCACCCCCAAATTACTAGAACTCATCCAGCAATTCAGTAATGTGGCAGGACACAAAATCAATGCACAGAAATCAGTTGCTTCCTTATACACTAACAACGCAACTGTAGAAAGAGAAATTAGAGAAACGATCCCATTTACAATAGCACCAAAAACCATAAGATACCTCGGAATAAACCTAACCAAAGAGGTAAAGGATCTATACTCTAGGAA